CTTCCAACAAAGAGCCACCCAAGACAGCCAAAAGGGGCTGGAAAAGAGCCCTTGGACGGCGCAGGAGGTCGCCAATACGCACCAACATCGCCCCCAGAGCGTTCCAAGAGGGCAGAGACGCTGACGGGGCGCCTATGGAGGCCCAAACAGGCCCAGAGCCACCCAAGACAGCCAGAAAGGGGACCCCAAAAAAGAGCCCTCCATCCGAGGAGCCACAGAGAAGGCACGCAGCTGCGAAACGGCTGGAGGGTCCTCCTCCTCCTCCTCCTCCTCCTCCTCCTCCTCCTCCTCCCCTCCTCCTCCTCCGCCTGCTCCTCCTCCTCCTCCTCCTCCTCCTCCTCCTCCTCCTCCTCCTCCTCCTCCTCCTCCTCCTCCTCCTCCTCCTCCTCCTCCTCCTCCTCCTCCTCCTCCTCCTCCTCCTCCTCCTCCTCTCTCCTCCTCTCCCTCCTCCTCCTCCTCCCTCCTCCTTCCTCCTCCTCTCCTCCTCCTCCTCCTCCTCTCCTCTCTCCTCTCTCCTCTCCTCTCTCCTCCTCCTCCTCCTCTCCTCCTTCCTCCTCATCCTCCTCTCCCCTCCTCTCCTTTCTCATCATCATCATCATCAGCATCGTCATCATCGTCATCGTCATCGTCATCGACATCGTCATCAGCATCAGCATCAGCATCAGCATCAGCATCATCATCATCATCATCATCATCATCATCATCATCATCATCATCATCATCATCATCATCATCATCTCATCATCATCATCATCATCATCATCCCCCCCCCCTCCCCCTCCCCCTCCCCCTCCCCCTCCCCCTCCCCCTCCTCCTCCTCCTCCTCCTCCCTCCCCTCCTCCTCCTCCTCCCCTCCCTCCTCCCCTCTCCTCCTCCTCCTCCTCCTCCTCCTCCTCCGTTCAAGAATCCCCACGACAGCCTCAGGACAGCGCAGGAGACGCCACTAGACCGCCCCAAGAGCGTTCCAAGGCTCTTCCAGAGATAGACGAAGCAAGCCCAAATCCTGTATTTCCCTTTGGTTTTGAAGACCTGTTCTGCTGCCCCCACTCTCAGAATCCCGACCGCCCAAGACAGCCCAAAAGGCTCCCGAAGTTTCATTTGGAGGCCCCAAGAGGCTGCCAAGAGGGCCACACGACTGCCCACGAAGACACATGGACGGCCTAAGGGGCAACCAAAATTGCCAAAAAGGACCCCGCAATGATAAAGATAGCAAATTACCCTGGCGACGTACCCAACCCCTGCGCAAAAGCGGGGCGCAAATAGTTTAGGATACTTTATAAGGGGGCGATGACGGAGCGAGGGTTACGTATGTCTGCAGACGGAATTCGGGAGACTCGCAGGACACTGGCTACAGGAAAAGGGCTTGATAAAGCTGATGATTTACAATTCCTGAGCACTCCTAGCCACTTCGAAAACGGGGATCACAGCAGGCCTCGAAAGTGGCGACAGGTTCACAGATCGCAGCCCCGCAGGGATGGCGAGGTCTCATTTGAATCTGCCCGTGGCCCTCACTGTGCTGGGCCCCCCAGCAGGCCTCGAAAATGGCGGCAGTTTCGCAGATCGCAGCCCCCCAGGGATGGCGAGGTCTAATTTGAATCCGCGCGTGGCCCTCACTGTGCTGGGCCCCCCAGCAGGCCTCGAAAATGGCGACAGTTTCGCAGATCGCAGCCCCCCAGGGATGGCGAGGTCTAATTTGAATCCGCGCGTGGCCCTCACTGTGCTGGGCCCCCCAGCAGGCCTCGAAAATGGCGACAGTTTCGCAGATCGCAGCCCCCCAGGGATGGCGAGGTCTAATTTGAATCCGCGCGTGGCCCTCACTGTGCTGGGCCCCCCAGCAGGCCTCGAAAATGGCGACAGTTTCGCAGATCGCAGCCCCCCAGGGATGGCGAGGTCTAATTTGAATCCGCGCGTGGCCCTCACTGTGCTGGGCCCCCCAGCAGGCCTCGAAAATGGCGACAGTTTCGCAGATCGCAGCCCCCCAGGGATGGCGAGGTCTAATTTGAATCCGCGCGTGGCCCTCACTGTGCTGGGCCCCCCAGCAGGCCTCGAAAATGGCGACAGTTTCGCAGATCGCAGCCCCCCAGGGATGGCGAGGTCTAATTTGAATCCGCGCGTGGCCCTCACTGTGCTGGGCCCCCCAGCAGGCCTCGAAAATGGCGACAGTTTCGCAGATCGCAGCCCCCCAGGGATGGCGAGGTCTAATTTGAATCCGCAGTTTCGCAGATCGCAGCCCCCCAGGGATGGCGAGGTCTAATTTGAATCCGCGCGTGGCCCTCACTGTGCTGGGCCCCCCAGCAGGCCTCGAAAATGGCGACAGTTTCGCAGATCGCAGCCCCCCAGGGATGGCGAGGTCTAATTTGAATCCGCGCGTGGCCCTCACTGTGCTGGGCCCCCCAGCAGGCCTCGAAAATGGCGACAGTTTCGCAGATCGCAGCCCCCCAGGGATGGCGAGGTCTAATTTGAATCCGCGCGTGGCCCTCACTGTGCTGGGCCCCCCAGCAGGCCTCGAAAATGGCGACAGTCTCGCAGATCGCAGCCCCCCGCAGGCAAGACAGGAAAAGGCGGGAGGCGGGAGAAGGGACGCGACCACACTGCTCTATTCAAAACGAATACCCAACCAAGGAGGGTTGGGAAAAAGAGGAGGAAAGAAGCCCCGAGACGGCTCAGGCGCTATCTGGAATCCTCCACGACAGCTTCCAGGCAGTTCCGGAGGCCCCCAAGACGCCTCACGACCGCCCCAGAAGCGCTCCAAGGTTCCAGAAAGCCGACAGAAGCCAAAAGCATAATTTGACTGGTTTTGATATGTTTCCCAATACTCGATGTTTCTGGCACCCGATTGTCCCAGACGACCCAGCAGACCTCCAATACCGCTTCTGGAACCGCCAAGGGGCTGCCAAGAGGGCCCTAAGACAGCCCAAAAGGGCCAGGGACTGCCCAAGTGTCGCTCAAGACGGCCAAAGAGAGACACAAGAGGGCTCCAAGAGAGCCACACCTGAGGCCACAGAGGAGGAAAGCGAACTTACATTTCGAGCTTGTCGACTTCGAAGGCCCCAAAGACCCCCCAACATACCCGCAAGTGGCACCCCACCTCCCTCCAGAGGGCCCCATGAGGCACAAGAGGGCACCCAAGACGACCCTCACAAGCGTACCAAGAGGAGAAAATGACACAGTTGCCTTCCGGGTTGCGATGCACCTCAGCGTTCTTGCTCATATTCGTGCGTTTCACGCCCGACGGCTGCCAGGAACACCCCCGAGATCGCCCCAAGACAGCCGAACGGACCCAGAAAGAGCCTCAAGACGGCCCCTCCAGGGGGAGGGGGGGGGGGCAGCCGAAGTCTCCCCTCGGGGGGGGGGGGGGGAAGGGGCGGGCCGCGGGCCCGCGGTCACCGCGTCGTCCTTCGCACGGATGCGACCACGCACGACGACGCACGACGACACGACGACGCACGACGCACGACGACGCACGACGACACGACGACGCACGACGACGTGCGACGGCGAGTGCGACGGCGCCCTGAGACCCGAGTGGTTCCCAAGGTGGCCCCAAGAGGGGCCCGTTAGGGGGAACACGAACGGGAACTGCAGCATTCCGCCCCAAGAGGACCCCAGGAAGCCCAAAAGGCCCCCAAGAGGCCCCAAGAGAACCCCAAAGACCCAAAAGAAGCCCGAGGAGGCTTCGAAACGACCCCCACAAGAGGCTTCAATGCTGCCTCCAAGAGGCACCCGAGAGGCCACCCACGAGATCCCAACGAACATGCAAGAGGCCTCCGACCCACAACCCAGGCACGGAGTCAGAAAGAACCGAAGACCACTCGAGACGTCCATGCAGACTTGCATGTGTACACATGGCGGTGGCATTGGCGGTCGTCGCGATCGTAGCCATGGCAGACGTGGCGGTGATGGCGGTCGCGAGAGTGCCCGTGGTACCGGAGGCAGCCGTGGCGCAGTTGTGACTAAATTTACGCCCGCGCGAAGCGTCAGCCGTTGTGGAAACCCTTCGGTGAACAGGTGGAGGCGAAGAAAGACGAGGAGGAGAGGGAAGAAAAAAGAGGAGGAGGAGGAGGAGGAGGCTTCTCGAGAGTCTCTTGGGGCGCTCTTTGGGAGCTCTCTGGGGGCCTCTTGGAGGCCTCTTGGGGGTTTCCTTGAGCCTCTCGAGGGCCTATGGAGGCTCCTTGGGAGGCTCTCTGGCCGTCTGAGAGGACGTTCCTGGCCCGTCTGACGCCGTCGGAAGCAGTTTGGGGGGCATATTTGAGCCGACTTGGGGCCCTCTTGGGGCGCTTCAGTTGGGCGTCTTGGAGGTATCCTGGGCCGTCTTGGGGCCCTCCTGGGGCCATCTTGGGGAAATCCTTCGATCGTCGCATGGCGGTCTTAGACCGTCGGAAAGCTGAAAATGATTCTTCAAAAACTTATTGGAAAATCCATGAGTTTGGCCCCGTGGAGGTCTTGGGCCGTCTTGGAGGCCTCTTGAGCCGTCGCAGACGATCTTGATGCCATCTTGGGGGCATCTCGGCCTATCTTGGAGACATCTTGATGCCAAAGTGAACTCTCTTGGGGCCATCGTAGCCGTTGTGGACACCATGTTGGCCGTCTTGGAGGCCATCTTTGGGCCGTCTGGAGCTTAAAGACCGACGGCATGGGAAGCTTATGGGTCCTTACCGGGCCGAGAGTCGACGGGAGAGACCTTCTGCGGGTCCTTCCGGGTGGCTGGTGCATTGGGCCGAAGGCTACTGGCAACCTGTGGATGGGCTCCTGGTTCCTCGAGGCCTCTCGACCATCTTAGAGGGTAATGTAATTGGGAAACATGAGACTGATCGGATTCTTTTCAGTACCCCGCGCGCAAGCTCCTGAAAGGGGGCCGACAGGCCCCCTTTCCCTGAACCACAACAGCGGCCCAGGAAAAGGGTTCAAGGGTTCTGAGCTAGGCTGTACAGGCAACTAGAGGGCCCAAGGTGGCTTCTTGGGGGCCCGCGGCGGGCCTCTAGAATCACACTGGCGGTACTCTACTGTTCAGAACCCGTGCAACTCCTCGACCTCATTCTCGCCTGGTTCAAGCGACTAGCCTCGGGCCTCTCTCTGAAGATCTGCTGGGTCTCCCTGAGGCGCATGTAGGCTTCGGGCTCGTAGTTGAGATCGTCCACGTTGCTGGTGGCACCTGAAGTGCCAGTACAGTCCATCTCGTAGAGGTGGAGTCCAGAGAAGCAGCAGTCGGTCACGGCGAAGATGACTGGCTCCTTTTTCTGGCGTCGAACTCTGTCCTCGTATCGTCGGCGAAGCACGATGCTGTCTGCGGTGATGCCGTATTCTCCGTCATGTAGTGCTTGTCGTAGTAGGGCGCCCTCGCCCTTACGCTTGGTGAGTGGATCGGTGAGCTGGCTGGTGCCCTCGATCCACCGTAGGTGAACTTCTGGTCGTTGCATGGCTGCTCGAACGATAGCTACATCGATGGCGGCGCGCTTGTCCTCGGCTAAGCCTGCCTTGGGATTGGTCACGTGATCGTAGCCGCCTCTGGAATCGGTGACGCTGATCACTGGAAATTTGGATGCTAGCATGCAGGGCCTCATCAGGTCGAACTCGCTGTCCGTAATCTCGAGCAACATGGTGCGCATGAACTCCCCCATGGCCATTCCTTCTGAAATCGCCAGCGTCTCGGCACCGAACTGGCGAGCACACTTCCTCTTAAGTTTGTGACTCTTCCAGGACTGGATCGAGATGATGGCGGGCTCCCCTGTGAGAATATTGCGCTGTGTGGCGAACACGATGTATCCAGCCTGCGAAGCTCCATCTCTGGCATTTGCCCAGGCCGCGTCATTGAAAACTGCAAAGGCCATCTCATGAAATGGAATGTGCCTGATCCTGAGAATCACCGAGCTGAATTCTTTAGTCATCCTGCCGATGCGGTTCGCCTCCAGCAAGTCGTCCACCACCAGGTTGGGCATCTGTCCTTGAAGTAGGGACACTGGACCAGATAGATCGGGCCTGCTTTCACAGGCCAGAAACGAAATTGACCCGCACAAACTGCGTGCTTGGTGGAGTTCTTCAGGTGTGACTGCAGAATGAGGCTCTTTACGGCGTTCAATGGCTATATTGATTAGCTGGATGCTACTAGAACTGAAGCTTTGTGATATCGTGATCTCGGTGTTGTCCTCGTTCTGCTGTAGCCCCTTACCGGTGTACTTCCCACTCTTGTGGCGCCACGCTCCGAAAGGAAACCTTTCTCGTAGCTTCTGACAGGCAGCGTCGAATAAAACGTCTCCACCACCCACGATGTCGTCCACAGTGAGGCCCATGTTGCCGCGAAGTCCCTTCTCGTCTCTCAGGTAGACGACGCAGCTGTCGAAGATGGAGCACTGGAAACCGATCTCCTTGGCGTACTTGGTGAAAGCTGATAGCCATTGTAATGGAGCGTCGTCTAGGCCACACACTGCCTCGAGTAACTCCACCAGCGAACCGCCCTCCACATCAGGAATCCCAGTGCGAGGAAGCTCCACATAGAGACTGCCTTGAGATCGATCGAGTGGATCTCCAGCGGTAAAAGCCGAAGTGATGTCTGCTAGCTGCAAGGTCCACTTGTTAGAGCACAGGATCTGCAAAATCAGGAACACGGAGTCCTTGCCGACGACTGGGCTGTAGGTCTCGAGGTCGAGCAGGTCGGGGTCGGTGTGTCCTTGAACGGTCCAGCGAGCCTTTGCCATCCTCCAAGTGCCGTCGCTCATGAACATCAACTGCCGCTTGCTAGCGTCGACCTCCTCAGGATTGGCGCCCTGTCGGTGAGCACCCAGCGGGAACCCATGATCCTGGAAGCTCGATCGGGATCTTGACGTACTTTATCGGCTTCAGCAGGTGGAAGTAGTCGAATTGCTTGTGCATTCGCGATGTTGCCCCACTCTCTACGCTTAGCGGCGATGTAGGGCTGGTACTTGTAGGTGTTCAGAAGCGACTTCTCAGTAATATCCTTACGAAGTCGTTGATTGGTGTTGGTGAGCATGGCTGAGCTGACGACTGGTGCCTTCACTTTCTTAACATTCTTCTTGGGTGGTGCTTCCGCCTCCTTGTTGATCTTTGCTTCGATGACGGCAATCCGCTCGCTGACTGGTATGGCTGAGATCGGATTGTTGATGTTCTGCTTTATCGTCAACGGCACGTCGTCTAGATGATCGTAGTACTTGGTGGCCATGGGAATCAGCTCTGGGTTGACATCCGCGGCCTTCTCGATCTCTGTGGTGGGCGGCTGTGAGGCTGCCCCTTGATCATCCGCGGCTGGCTCCGGTGGAGCAACGTGAGGCACTTCAAGATCGTCTGGTGGCTGATCTTGTCGAGTGAGGTATTCGTATTTTTCGACGTCCTCTGTTCTCGGTGTTCAACTCCTCCTGCATGGTGTTGTCGATCTGCTCCCAGGCTGCGACATCGGCCTCGTTAGCATGTCGAAGCTGCTCAGGTGAGCACTTGAGTAGACCTCCCTGATATGAGCACCACACTGTACTCGGAAGCTCCACCTGGATGACACGTGCAGGTCCATGCCAAGAACTAGTTGGCAGCTTGTCAGTACTGTTTCGCCAGAAATAACATCGATCTCCTGGCTGAAAAGTGGTGCCTCTAGTAGGTCTCGTCCTCCTCTGAAGCGCCCGTCTCCACTTTTCTGAGCACTCGGCCTCGATGTAGGCAGCCATGGCGGCCTTGCGCATGTCGATGCTCCTGGCCAACTCGGTGTCACCGTTCATCGATCTGGAGACCGTTGACAAACTTGGTGATCATTCTTCTAAGATCTTCTCAGGAAGTCGAAATGGTCGTCCGAAAATTCTCTGATACGGTGTAAAACCTCCTCTGCGAACGCTCTCGCCCATAGCCACGTTGACCGCATCCACGAGCTCGCGAAAGTCCTCCCAGTTGTTGGTGTTGAACTTCTGCCTGGTTCGGTAGAAGGTCTCCTTCCAGGTGCCTCCAGCGCGTTCGGTCTTGCCCGCCTGCCATGGTGAAGTAGCACTCGTCACCTTGATCTCGGAACCATCTCCTTCAGCAGCTTCTGGAAACTCACCTGCAGAGAAACCTTTCTCGCCATCAATGGCTATCATGCGGGGCACCCCATAAACACGCTTCCAGAATGCGCGGTAATGACGCCTTATCTGAGGGCCATGTCGACTCGGTAGAGGTATCACCACTTGATGTCCAGTACCGTGGCAGGCTATGTTCAGCATGGGCACCTTGGTGGTGTTCTCGGGTCCCAACACGAAGAAGATGTCCATGCCGATGACATCGTTGAACTGGTAGGTAGTCGGAGCTTTGGAGGGCTTCGCGAGCTTCGGCCTCTTGTTTGCCTCGCAGCTCGGGCACTCGAGCTTCTGCGCCGCCTCAATGAAGGCCTGTCTGGCCTTGCCGTACTTCAACACCATGACCAGGTTCTCGTTGCTGCAGTGGCCCATGTTCTCATGGATCTTCTCAACCTGCTGCTTGACGTGAGGGTCCGTGCTCTTCTCGTCTTTTGGTGCCGTTGTTGGTGCCGTAGGTGCCGCGCAGCATGCTGCACACTTGTCCTCGATCTGCTTCCCGAGCTCCTTCGTGGTCTTCATCTCGATGATCGTCCGAACCAGCACCCCAACCAGCTCCTGTAGGGGGTCGTCAATGTCCCCGAGGGCGGTGTGAGGTGGTCGATTCACGAACTCCTGGCTCAACAACTTGGCGTACTCGATGGCCTCCTTGTGTAGATTGGAGAAGTACTTGCGGCCCTTCCGAAGCGCTCTGTCCTCGCCGATGTCGGGTAGACGCTTGAGCTTCTTGATGAGGGGATCTTCCCAGTCCCTGGAGTTCATGTCCTGCTCGTAATAGAAGTACCTGCCGTTGACGGCCTGCTTGATCGCCACGTCGGAGATGAACGTCAGCATCTCCTTGCCGATCTTCTCCTTCAACTTGGTGTTGTAGATGTCCTTCGGAGGCTTGATAACTACCATGAGAGGCGCTGAGTGTTGAAGCTTGCTCCAGACTTCTCGCTGTCCCATCCTCGTCAGCAGATGGGAACCCATGAGCGTCACGATCTCCTTGTTGGTCACGCTCCTTTCGGCTCGATCGTCCTCCTTGAGGTGGGCCAGCTCGGGCTCGAAGTTGAGGGTGGCCTGATTCACGAAGGCGCTGCTCTCGGGGATCGCGGCCTCCACTGCCTGAGTCAGGCCCTCGAAGTCGCTGATCTGCTTGATGGACTTGTTGATCACGCTTTTCTGCTTGTCGCTGAGCTTCTCTAGCAGTCGCTGATGTCGGCTCCGAGGTGTTCGCGGAGGTTCTCCACCAGCTGATTGGTCGTCGCGTTGGCGTTCTCGTCCTGAAGTAGCTCGCGCAGCGCTGTCAAGGCCTTGCTCCGTGGGGAGTCGTCCAGCTGCTCCCAGTCCTCTGTCTCCTCCTCCAGCTCGTCCTTCTGACACCGGTTGTCCTGGTGCCTTGGCTTGGTTCTGGAAGAGGTCCTCGGGCTTGTCGACGCCGTCCTGCTGGTCGCTGTTGGTCCCGTCTCGGTCTCCTCCTTCTTCTTGCTGCTGGTCTTGGTCGTTCTGGGCTTCCATCCCTTGATCCTCGCCTCCTCGTCCTTGAAGTCGTTGAGCATGTTGGTGACCTTCATCATCCCTGGGGCTGACTGTGGGTAGTACTCGAGGTGCATCTTGCAGCCGCAGCACTGCACCCAGAACGCTCGACCGTTGCCGCCGTGGCCCGTGAACTCGTGAACGCACGCCGTCTCTCGAGCTGGATCGTGATCTCGAGCCTGCCTCGGGTTGCTCTTCGGTGGACAGGGGCCCTGGTTGGGGATGCCCAAGAACCTGCAGATCATTGCTCCCGTTGGCGGCCTCGGTCGGTTGTCTATCTCGTGCCACGGCCACTGAAAACCCTTCCCCCTCTCTGGGTTGTCCCTCACCTTCGGGTCCTTCTGGGGATTCACAGGCTTCTGTGGCCTCCGCCTGACCCGCAGTCGTTAGTGGCCTTCGCGATGATGAAGGCTGCGAGCGCCGAGTAGAGGTACTTGGGAGCTCGTCGCATGACATGGAAATATGGAGAAATACTGGTTGAAGAGATTCTGGGAGAACCCGTCCGTGAAAGCTGACTCGAGCCGAACCAGCTTTTGGAGATCGCACGTGGTTTATATCGCAGTTTACGTTTGAGAACCTCGGCCACTATGTCATTGCATTTGTTGTTCTCGTTGCTTGGCTTGTCGTAGTTGCTGTCTTCTCTGGCGCTGTTGTGCTTGCCTTTGCTCTTGTCTAGCTCGTTGCCGTGCTCTTGTACTCTACCCTCCTGACCTCGTGCTCCTCCAACTCCCCTTCGTGCTCGTGCTAGTGCTACTATTATGTGTCGGGTGATCGTCCTACAATCTCCTCTTACCCGTTGTTCAGGTTGTTCTGAAACCGCTGTAGTGCCCAAGACGCCCGAGAAGTAGCAGCTTCCGATCTTCTGGGGCCTCTCGAGGTCTTTGGGGCCCGACGTAGATGATAGATGGATATACTCCGAGCTCGTTCCGAAGTCCATCGAAACCTCCCTCGAGCACAGAGTCCAGCTCTCAGGCTTCTTCCACGGGCGCACGAAGTTGTCGAGCTGCAGCAGGAAGTGCTCACCTCCAGCGTGGGCCAGAGGAAGTCTGACGTTCTGCTCTGGCAAGTCCAACTCCGACTGGAACGCGTGGAGTGACGCCTTCAGCTCCACAACGAACGTCTTGGAGAGCAACAGTGGGGCCGCGCCCTTGACCAGGCACACGAAGATCACTCCGCTGAAGTGTCCCAGCATGATCGGAATGAACACGCCCTCCGTCGCCGTGCAGACCTGGTCGTTCCCGAACCTGTACTTCTTGTGGTAGGGCACCGTCTCCAGCGTGATGCTGTGCACGTCCTTGTAGTGCTTGGCCCAGGCGTCGAAGGTGACCAGGCCCATCACGTTGAAGCCGCATGCCGTGTCGACCGCGCCCCAGCCTGGCCTGCCCGACTTCTCGATGTCGGTTGCCAGCGTGATGTGCTCGACCATGTTGGATCTCTCCGCCATCTTCGCCTCCGTCGCCACGTAGCTACACACCTCGTCGTCCTGGAGCACCGTCATCGCGAAGAAGCCGCCCGTCACCCTGCCCTTGTTCTTCGGATTGTCGGGGCACTCCTTGTGCCAGTGACCCAGCTTCTTGCATATGCCGCACTTCGTCCTCTTCTTGATGTCTTCTATCTTCTCCTCGGTCCTTTTCCTGTCCTTGATGTTGTGGAAACCCCTTGTTCGTCTTCTTGTCGGCCACGATCTTCCAAACTTCACCCCATGTCCTGGGCTTTGGTGATGGCCCGACCAGCGCCGCTAAGCAGTCCAGCGCCTCGGCCTCCGTGAGAGCCTCGCCGTTCTCGAGCTTGTCGTCTGGCTCCTTGTCGTCGTCTATGCCCAGCAGGTTCGCCATCGCGTCATAGATGGGGTTGTCGTCGCCCTCGACCTCAGTATCCTCCTGCGGCTCCTCTTCCCGAACTCCCGCCATGTAGGAAGCCGCTCTGGTAGTCGAGGTCTTCTCCGTGACCGTGTTGTCGTCCGTCATGCGCTTCAGGATCGCTACCAGCTTGTTCACGTCGTAGTCGTAGCCCGTCTGGATGAGCACTTGGTTGCGCTCCGTCTTGGCCAGGCCGGCCCCTCGAAGCAGCAGGAAGCCCATGACCGTCTCGTTGAGCGCGCTAGGCAGCAACGTGATCAGCTCCTTCTGTTCCGCGCGGATCCTGTTCGTGAACTTCATGAGCGTCTCATCTCGCGCTCTCGGTGCTGCGAACAGCGTCTTCTCGAGCTGCTGAAACGTCTCGGCGTCCGCCTCTGGGAAGGCCAGCGTGTCCAGCACCATGATCACCGTCTGCAGCCCTCCAGCGAACTGTACATTTCCTGGTCGAAGATGTCTCGTCGCTATCGCCGCCTCCTTTGTCAGGTGCAGCAGCAACGTCTCGCCCTGCTCCTCAGGTGGGACCGCCGTGAGTCGGCTCCACCTGTCTATGGCCAGCCTCTTCTCGGGCCACTCGCTGAGATCCTTGCCGTCCCAGGCTGGACACGGTGGATCTTTTCCTCCTCTGCGTCCTCCTGGTGGTCGTCGTCCTCCATCTTGGTCTTCGCCCAGTTCAAGTCGTCCTCGACGAAGGCCTACAGCCTGCTTGACCTGCTGTGGCGTGCCGAAACCTCTCGACCGTGATGATCTGTCCGACGGTGTGTCCTCGTGCTCGTATCTGTCGTGCTCGTACTTGTCATTCTCGGCCCAGTAGTCATCGTTCGAGCCGTCGCTTGCCCACTGCCAAGCTCCCCAATCGGCTTCTCGATGTTTGGTCCATGAACTCCAAGGGTCCCACGAGCTGCTCTGCCGTGTACTGTTATGAATCCAATTGTTGTCGTCCCCATTGTCATCATCCACGACTTCCCATCTCTGCTTGCTGTCGTGACCGCTGTCGTTGCCGTCGCTCCGCTTACCACATGTGGATGGGCTCCTGATTCCTCGAGGCCTCTCGACCATCTTAGAGGGTAATGCACTTGGGAAACATGAGACTGATCGGATTCTTTTCAGTACCCCGCGCGCAAGCTCCTGAAAGGGGGCCGACAGGCCCCCTTTCCCTGAACCACAACAGCGGCCCAGGAAAAGGGTTCAAGGGTTCTGAGCTAGGCTGTACAGGCAACTAGAGGGCCCAAGGTGGCTTCTTGGGGGCCCGCGGGCCTCTAGAATCACACAACCTCTAAGAAGGACCAACAATTATCTAGCAGGTGGCACTCCGTGTACCCCTGCGGCAAGCCAATAGGGGGTGGCGGATATAGTGGCTGTCGGCCCATCCCGCCACCGCGCTCGGGTTGTAGGTCAGAGGCCCTTGGGATGCCTGTGGGGATCTCGTGTGAGGCCTCCCGGAAGCCTCTTAGATTCGGTTTTGGTGTGTTTGGGGGGGGCCTTCGGGGGTCTCTTGGGGGCCTCCTGGGGCTTGTTTTGAGCCTCTTGGGGGCCTCCTGGAGCTTGTGGGGGGCCTCTTCAGGGCCTGGCCATCGTGGGGCGAAAGGCTCCAAATGTCGGTGTGTGTTCCCCGTCTGGGGCTTCTTTTGGGCCCCTATTGAGGCCATAGTGGTCCGTCTTAGGGGTCTCTTGGGGCCATCTTGGGCCGTCTGGGGGTACTCTTGGGGGCCTCTTGGGCTGTCTTGCGGCGATAGTGTGGGGGCCTCTTGGGCCATCTTGGAGCGTCGAAAACCCGAAAGGCGAGAACACCAAAGTCCGTGAGAAATCCTTCGGGAACTCAATGACTTTGGTATCTTGCACCTTCTTGGGGGGCCTCTTAAAGCCCTCTTGGAGCGATCGTTGGGCGACTCGGGGCCATCTTGGACCAGTTCTGGGGGTTTCTTGGGGCCCTCGTGGCCCGTCTGGGGCCCTCTGGCAAGTGGAACAGTCATGCGACCGACCCAAGAGTGCCCAGGAGCGACCAAGAGATCTGGGCACGTGGGCTTTGGGCCCCGGAAAAAATATTTGCAATATTCTATACGGAGAACTCGAACGGATTTCAGGACACTCCAGTTTGTGCCTCAGGACGCGGTGGCGGATATATGCATATGTTTGTATGTGCACGTATATACATGTGTATACACATATACACAGATCTAATTCCCCAATCAGAGCTTGCCTCTGTAGGGGTCCTAGCGGATTTAAGGGTAGGTGAGGTATGCCGCCGATTCGGTGGCCGGGCCCGGGTGCCCGGGTGCCCGGGTTCGCCGCCGATTCGGTGGCCTGGCCCGGGTGCCTGGGTGCCCGGGTGCCCGGGTTCGCCGCCGATTCGGTGGCCGGGCCCAGGTGCACGGATGCTTGGGTGCCCGGGTGCCCGGGTGACGGGTGCCCGGTGCTTGAGTGGGTGCCCAGGTGCCGGGTACCCAGGTGCCCGGTACATTGTAGCCTTATAGCCTTATAGCTCTATATCCCTATCGCCCTGTAGCCCTATAGCCCTATAACCCATATAGCCATACAGCCATATAGCCCATATAGCGCCCAAGAGCCCATATAGCCCTGTAGCCCTATAGCCCTACAGCCCTAAAAAGATAATGATTGGTTTTTTTTCTCTGGTATCATGTGTGTATGTACACTTGTGTGTAAGCATGAACAGATATAACTATATATATATAGAGAGAGAGAGAGCACGCAGCACTTGGGCAGAATATACATAGCGATAGAGGAGGGAAGGAAGAGGAGGAGGAGGAGAAAAATCACCCAGGAACTCTTGCAGTCGGATGAAGACGCGCTGAACAAGCCGCAGGGATCGCTCGAAGAGTTCCAGGAGGCGTGGGAAAGGTTACCCTGGCCTGGTTGATGGGGAGGTAAGGTCAAGCAGGTTGTAACTAGCTGAGCACTCACATGTATGCTGTGGGCCACGACCACATTTGTAACGGTTGCGACTGAAGATGATGCCTTTCGAGCTGAAAAATTCGCCTCACAACGAGTCGCAATGTGCACGTGGCTTGTTTAATGTTGCTCGATGATGCCGCCATGGACGCACATAAAGATGTACACCGATACGTATGCATACAATTGGCATATACATGTATGTGTATATTATAAATATATGCGGAACGATATCCATGCCATGGCATGCCATCCGATTTCGAATGCGTGAAAAAAAAAGATTGGGCATTTGTTTCGTTGCGAACAGCGTGGTGATTTACAGCCTTGTCCTGCGCGCACGTGACCTGACGGAGAAGAGCTCACTACACGTGCGTTCCAATTGCGTTCTATGCGTCTCTCCAGGGCCAAGCGAGAACCATCTCCAGACCGGGACGATTGGACTCCTGACGATTGGGCGGACGAAGAGAAAACAAAGGCTGACACCGCATTCAAGGAAGTCCTTGTTTATGTGCCTCTAGCGTTTCAACCCGCCCGTATGAGTGTTGTCGTTGGCCCCTCCCTGTGCACTTGTGCGATACCTTCATAGCCCGCAGCTGCCGCGGCTAAGTATGTCTGACTCGAGTTGGCTTGTATGTGTGCGCGTGGTTGCCCAACATTCCGTGAATATGATAATGTCATGACACAGATTGAAGTCGGTTGTCTTCACATGCTCGCCTTAACTCGCGGCATGACATGTTGGCAGTGCTACCTGCAGACCAGCTAATGTCCTCATTGGTGGACTTGTTGTTGTTGCTGTTGTTCATCATGAGACGATTGCGATGGTATCGTTGACGCTTGCTCGAGTAAAGGTCAGAGAGGACAAGGGACAGATACACGTGCATACTCGCCTTACATGTGACTTTGCTATTGGCATTGTAGCTTCGCGTCTTCCGTCATGCCCAGAGCACCAGGTACAGCATGCAGCTTGCCATGCACACATTGAGTGACTCAGCGTTTCTTTCCTGCATGCCTCCGCAAGGAGGGCATATATCGGGACGCAGTTGTCTATTACACCCGCGCGTTACGATACACACCTCGCAACGAGAAGCTGTTATCAAACAGGACAGGTCTACTTTTGTTCATCTCTTTCCTTCAGCTCAGGGTCTAGAGGGCTTTCACTGACAACGGAGGAGGGACACCCAAGGGGAATATCATCACGATGACAAGGAAGGAAGACGAGGAGGAGGGGGGTGGAGGGGAAGCGGGGGTGACAGGAGGAGGCGGCAGGTAGAAGAGGAGGAGGAGGAGGGGGAGGGGGAGGGGGATAGAGACGGAGAGGGGGTGAGGAAGAAGGGGGCGGCGGAGGGCGAGGGAGGGTTGAGGAGGAGGCGTGGGCACGGGGGAGGGCGAGGTGCAAGGGAGCAGGTGGAAGAGGGAGGGGAAGGAGGAGAAGGAGGGAAGAAAAAGAGCAGGAGGAGGATGAGGCGTAGTCGAGCGCGAACGAAACACAGCATCGAGCTAACAGGGCGTGGGCACAGAGGGCGTCGCAGCGCACGCAGGTGCGCGGATAACCCTCGATGAAGTACAAGTTCCGCGCGCGCTCGCGCGATCGTCCCAGCCTGTGCGCACGTCTGTATCGACGGCGCCTCCAGCGAGTAAATGCCGCCCCTTGCTTTTTGGACGATCAAGGCATACGTGGCATATCTCTCGACCAAAGTTTGGCCAAGCCGCTAGATTGTGTGTCCCAGCCGTTGCCGAAACAGTTCGGGGGGGGCATTGGAGGGGCGCTGGACCACTCCTGGGAGCGTCTGGGCCACACCGAGATCATCGGCCCTGGTGCTGTCTTCGGGGAGTCTTGGGGGCCTCTTGCAGGCATTTCGGGCCAATTTGAGGGCCCCTAAGGCCCTCCTAAGGATGGCCTCTTGGGCCATCTTGAGAGCCTTGTAAGTGGCTGTTTGTGATCTTGGCTGCCTCGTGAGCAGGCTTAGGGCTGTCGTGGGCCGTCTGGCGGCCTTGTTAGGGCTGCCTGGGCCCCTATCGAGGTTTCTGTTCGGCCTTTTCGGGCCACTTAACGGCTCATGGGCTGCGCTTCAGACGCTCTGTCTCAGAGACCAATCTAAAAGCATAACTCCTGCAGCTTCTTGGAGCTAGTTGAAGCAATGTCCTCGACGGATGACGCAGGGACGAGCGGGGGCGACAGTGTGCGAAGGGATTGTAGAGAGGCGCCAGAGAGCAAGAAGGTTGCCGCGATTCCCTGCGGGACACAATTCGGAAGCGGCAGCAACTCCGCCACCATCTCTGGCCAGGGCCGTCCGCTGGCGAAGAACTGAACTCTGTGGATGCAAGCTCGGGGCCCTCGCGCCCACACGACGCCCCTGGGCGCGCCCTCGGTCGGATCCCCGCCCGGGAGAGCGAGCTCCGAGCTCGCGCGCGCGCTCGCCGCGCGCGCGTCGGAATGCGCGCTAGCAGCTTCAGACACTCTGGCTCGGGTCTCAGCCGCAGCTGGGGGCACGGGCTCCAGGCTGCCGCTCTGCGAGGTGACTCGGTGCACGTCCAAGGCAGGCGGCACAGGCCACCGGCGGCGATGCCGGTTGCCCGAGTTTGAAACGTTCTTCTGGTCCATGTCTCCCCTGCCTCCCCTCCTGCCCCGCCTCCTTTCCATGGATCCCCCAATCCTCCCCCGCACACACGCACACACACACACACACACATACACACACACACTCTTGCGTCGGCCGCTAGGCAGAAGGACTGCGCTGGCGGATAGGGCGCTGGTAGGGCGAACGAACGCGAATTAGGCCGCGGTGCACGAGGGGGGGAGGAGGAGGCGCCTGGCAGTGACGGGAGGGAGAGCACACACACACACACACGCACACACACACACACACACACACACACACACACACACACACGCACACACACACACACACACACACACACACACACACACACACACACACACACACACACACACACACACACACACACACACACACACACGCGCGCACTTTTCGAGCGCTGGGGCGACTCGCCACACCGCGAGACGCTCGCGCGGGGGCCGCGCACGCGCCGAGCAGCTGGCCCCATCACGGGGCGGTGGCAGGGCAGCCGCCGTGCCGACGGGGCCGGGGCGGCGGTGGGCGGCAGCGGGGCCCAGCCCCCGGGGGCCGGGGGCGGAGGGCGGCAGCGGGGCCAGGGCGGCGGGGCACCGAGGAGGAGGGCGGGGCAGCCGAGGTCTGTTATACAGCGGGAAAGTTTGTTTTTGTTTATCACTCCTGTTGCACAGCTCGTCCACCGTCAGCTTCTTCCACGTCGCCAGCACCGAATACATTTTCGTGAGCTACAACATCGAATATGATTACAAACCTAACAAGTTGCTTCATGATGGTCTCAGGGTGACGGATGGTCTCTTGACCTGGCAAAGGTGAGTGTGTGAAAACCGCTCTTCTCCTCTTTCTACCCATCCATCCTGCAATCTTCTCGGCTCAGGTATTGGACCGCGAGCCCGATGACGATCGGGCCGTGAGAGGGAAAAGGACGGGACGCCTTCACTCTCTCATCTCATCCTCTGCCGACGGAATCGACGGTTGGTTCGACCCTTCGGTTCGTAACCTCCGTTCACAAGGAGCACGCCAAAGTCTGGCGGGCGGTGAGGCGGCACGAGGTCGACCCCGAAAGGGGGGCTGCACTGGCGAGGAAGGCAGCACCGCGAGCGAGTCGCCAGCTGGCGGGACCCGCGAGCCAGCGCGACCGACACAGAGACGCCTCTGTGGACCACTGAGGTCGCAACGCACACACACACACACACACACACACTCCAGCAGGACTACAAGTTCCCCAAGCCGGTCAAAATAGCTTGGCGCATTTGCAAGTATAGTCGCCTCCCAGATGGGATCCGAGTGGATGGGGGCAGAGGATCGCGCAGCATCGCCGCCGCATCGCCGATGCGGCTCGATGTGGAGCTCGCTTTTTTTAACGATGACGTCGCCGATGCGTCGCCGACGTCGCCGATGCATGGCCGACGCATGGCCGATGCATCGCCGATGCACCGGCGATGCTGCGTCATCTTCCGACCACTTCTACTCGGACCCCATCTAAGAGGCCCCTGGCAGGGCACCTCGGCGCACCGAGCTCGCCAAGCATCACGCGATCATGAACTGCGAGCTGATCAGGAAGGGCTGCACTCTCGAGCTGGGCATCGTGCGCGCGCTGTTCGGCAAGATCGAGGAGCGCGCGGGCGCCCCCGACAACGTTTTGGCGGTCGAGTCCACGGCGGCCGTCGCCTGGGCTCGATAAGGCCAGGGCGAGGACGAGCCCGCCGCCCAGCAGCCCGAGGAGCAGAAACGCTGGGCCGAGAGACTCGAGAAGGCCGAGCCCTTGCTGATCGCGGTGCGCTCCGAGGCCCCCGCGCACTGCACCTACTTCAAGGTGTCCAAGCAGGGAGCGGGCGCGGCCGTCGAGCACCGCGACGCCTTCAGCAGTCGCCCGAGATCGCCGCGCAGGCCGCCACGAGGATCCTCCCAAAGCTCTGCGAGCAGCAACAAGATGTCCCAAGCGGATGGCTGGACTTGCGGGTTCTGGGTGGCGAGGCGGCTCGAGCGCGCCTTGCGCGAGATCCGGGGCGAGGGCCGCAAGCCGCCCATCGGCGCCACCCAGGCGCGCGACCGAGGCAGCGAGTGGATCCCGAAGCGGGAGGAGGCGGGCGACAGCCGGGCCGCCGAGTGACCTGACATCGCCAGAGCCCAAGCACGGCAGCCTCAAGGAGGTAAAGGCTGCTGCGATCACGTGCTCGAAGACCCTCCCGCGCTCCCGCGCAAGGACGGCTCGAAAGGGTGCCGAGGCTCCGCGGGCGAGCGGTTTGAGCACGCGCGCAAAAGAGGTCTCTGGGCGAGAACCGTCAAAGACCCCGAGCTTTCAGACAAGCTCTAGAAACCAACTCTCGCCGAGCACCAAGAGCCGCAAGAGCGGGGAAACACCATCTTCATCATATTCATCTTCATCATCTTCAAGAATCCCAATATATTTCCACTACAGTCCGATTGACGTCGTAAGGAATCAGATGGATGTCCTAACTGATTGGGTGGATTTCCGAAGGAATCCAATATACTGGTTTCGGAATATTGTGGATATCCTGGGGAATCGTATGGATCGCATGGATGTCCGAGGGAATGTTATGGGTTTCACATATTCATTTTGGAATCCTAGGGATATATTCCGGAATCCTTTGGATGTTGCATTGGATTCCTATAGATTCCATAAGGAGCCCCGTCGATGTTTTAGGAAATCCCATGGATTTCCGTTTGAATATTATAGATGTCCTAAGGAACATTACGGATGTCCATCGGATTCCTATGGATTTCTTCCGGAGTCCCACGCATTGTTTTAAGGAGTAGTACAAATGTCCTTACGGACCTCACGAATTGACGTCGGAATCCGATGGGTGTACTTAAGATCGCTGTGGATTTCCTATAGAATTTTGTTGATATCCGAAGGAATCCATTAGATGCCCTTTGGATTCCGAGTGATACATTGAGGAACGCGGAGGGTTCCCACTGGATGTTTACGGTTTGCCTCAGGGGTTCCCATCGGATTCCGATGGGTTTCCAAATGAATTGGGTGGAATTCCCCAGGAATCCACTAGTTGCCTTTACGATTCCCATGGAAATCCTGAGGAACCCTATGGATTTCCATTGGGTACCACGGATATCCCAAAAGAATACAGTCGATGTCCTTCGGCTTCCGATGGATATCCAAACGAACCCGATGGATTCCCATGGGATTTGTTTGGTTGTCCTACGGAATCCGAAGGTTGTTTTGCTAATAAGTGTAATAATTTCAAAAATGAAAGTTCAGGATCATATTGATCAGCATCATCGTCATCATTTTCATCATTATGTTGAGATGTCCGAGAAAACGCTTATTATCCCGACTGGATCCCGAACTTGATTATCCCCACGGAATTAATATCGGGAGCTGTTGGTTACGGCCCTTCTCATTAGAGAGGTTGGCACCCATCCATGGGGGTGGAGGCACGGCGCGACTCGCCTGACCCAGAGGAACGCCCCCGCGAGTGGGGGGAAACGAGCGGTTATGTGCGGGGCGGACATGGGCTCGCCAAACTTGCCAGGTTCTGGTGTCCAGCATGACCCGGCGACTTTTCGACCACCGCTGGTGGCAGAAGGCCGTCCCTTTTACTTGACTCTTTGGTGCACTGCACCAGTTCATCATGGGAAAGCGCATTGAGCTCAGCGGAAAGGGCAATGCATTCCCAGAGGGACTCGGTATAAAGCTCGCTGGCAGGCGAGTCGGGAGGCGGCCCAGGGTCCGCCGCCAAGTGTTGTCAGAGCGATCGTTGGCGACCGCGAGCCACGCGTCCGCGTCCGCATCGACTCGGGTGTAGCACCTCGGGGCGTGGATGTGCTGACCGAGGCGCACGAGGGCGGCAAGCTCGGCTGGTGCTCTAGAGCTCTGGTCTCAATGCTGATGCGGTCAGACAAGGGGGGAGGGTTACCATCCAGGTAGACCACGGCATCGCACGCAGTGAACCAGACCCGCCGGAACCGAGAGTTGCGCCGGAGCACGTGGCGGGCCAGCCTGCGTAGGTCCCAGGGGTCGTGTTCGCCCAGTGGCGAGGGCAGGGCTGGGGGGAATGGGCTTGAGCAGCGGACAGGAGGCGGACTCGCACACATTCACACGCCAACACACACACACACACGGACAGACACACACACACACACACACACACATACATACACACACACATTCACACATACACACACACACACACACACACACACACACACACGCACACACACACACACACACACACACAACACACACACACACACACACGCGCGCGCGCACACGCACACCTCCCCATTCTTCGCCCCCTTCCCCATCATTCCCCCCCCGTTCTCCTCTATGCCTCCCTCCTCCCTCATCCTCCTCTCCTTTTTTCTTGTTTGTCAGCCCCCTCATTTTCCCACACCCCTCCCCCTCCTCCTCCTCCTCCTGGTCCTCCTCCTCCTCTTCTTCCTCCTCCTCTCATCATCCTCATCATCCTCATCATCATCATCATCATCATCATCATCATCATCATCATCATCATCATCGTCATCATCATCATCATCATCATAATCATCCTTCTATTATCCTCCTCCTCCTCCTCCTCTCCTTCCTCCTCTCCCTCTCCCTCCCTCATCAACCCCTCCTTCTTCCTTCTCCCTCGTCCTGGTCCCACCCACCCCTTGCCTCCTCATCTCCTCCACATCCTTCTCTCACTACTCCTCCTCCTCCCCCCTGCCACTCCCCCCCCCCACCAACCTCACCATTCCTCCCTCCCTCCATCCATCCATCCATCCTCTACCTCCTCTCCCTTCCCCGGCCCACGGGGAGGAGCGCCGCTTACCTGAAGCTGGGCAAGAGCCAGCTTGCCCTCGACGACGCCCTGGAGGCCTCCCGCGTGGCCCGGGCCGCCCCCCCGCGGGCCCTCCGCCGGGAGGAAGCAGTCCCGACCGCCAAGCACGGCCAGCATGGCGCCTCAGACGTGCAGGGGATGTTGCCACCGACTGTGCGGTTGGCAGTTCACGGCCTCACCGCAGCGATTCGCACCTTTCAGTCGGTCCAGGGGCGCGTTGGGATCTTGGAGTGAAGGCGAGTTCTGGTTTGTGATGCCTTCGCCTCCTGCCTTCCTCTCCGTCTCGTCTGTGACTTCTCCTCCGCATTCTCATATCCTTTTCAGGACCAGCGGTTTTCACTCGCCATTTGCACGCGCGTGCGACACGCTCGGGTCTGCTTGTGCTGTTGCGTGCTGACCTCGGGGTGACAGCGCAGTGGGCTCGCCATGTCGTCGCCTCGCCCGCACGCCCCTCGCACTGCGTGAGCTCCCGCGTAGCACCTCGCGTGTGCATTGCGTTCAGTGGCAGTGGCTTCCTCTCAACAACGAAGCATGTGTTCATGTATCTCCTCCGTTTCTACCCCTGTGTCTTCTTCGTTGTTGCCCCGCCCCACGGGCTTTTTGGCTTGCCATGCATAAGTGTTCCCACGACGCGGTGAGTTACATGTTTATCTTCTTTGCCGATCCCCTCGTTCTCTGTTGTTGCTCTTCTTGTTTAAGTGATTCGCATGCATATTGTCGCATATCTGTTTTATCTAGTGGCCTTCGGCCAAATTCGCTTCCGTTGCCGGGTCGCGGATAAGAGGCCTTTTAGACTCCTCATGAAGGCCTTTCGGGCCCTCGTGGGGGTCTTTGAGGGATCTCTTCGGGAGCTCGAAAAAGCGAGAATGCGAACATACTTCGAAACCATAGGAAAGTAAATGCTTTGGGTATCTTCAGGCTTTGCTGGAGGCTCTATTGGAGCCCTCTGGGGCCGCCTCGGAGGCCTTTTGGGCCGTCAGGGAGGCTTCCTGGACCGTTTTGGCAGCCTTGGTAGCCTGCCTGGTCCGTCTTGGAGGCCATCTTGGGCGTGGTGGACGCCGTGGAAAGCGCCAGGGAGGCGTCTTGGCCGCCCAGGGAGCCCAAGAGTAGGGGTGGCGCACGCAGCGGGGCGCGGCGAGAGAGAGGGGGTCCTCCAGAGCACAACAGAGGCACTGCCAGACAGCACTTGGCATTCTTCCACGCCTCAACGTGCGAAGGCACGGTGGCGGGTGCGGCGTCTGGCCGAGGCATCGGCCGATCTCCATCCTGTCGGGAATGCCGTGGTCGGCGATCTGCTGAAGGACACGTCCGACATCGCAGCCCGATCCACGGCCTTGGAGGGGCCCCCGAACTCCTGATGATACGCGGCCCCGGCCTGGATTTCTTGGCCCAGACCCCAAGGATGGCGAGGTCTCCTGGTGGTCCGCGTAAGACGTCACTCCGTCGGACCCCCCAGCAGCCTTCTAAAGTGGCGACAGTTTCGCAGATCGCAGCCCCCCAGGGATGGCGAGGTCGAATCTGAATCTGCGTCTGGTACCCACGGTGCTGGCCCCCCCGGCAGCTCTCGAATGTGGCGAAAGTGTCGAAGTTCGCAGCCTCCCAGGGATGGCGAAGTATACTTTGAATATGCGCCTGGTACCTACAATTCTGCCCCCCCGGCAGTCCTTGAGAGTGGCGGCAGTTTCGCAGATCGCAGCCGCCCACGGATGGCGAGGTCTAATCTGAACATGCGTCTGGTACCCACGATGCTGCCCTCCCAGCGACCCTCAAGAGTCGCGACAGTTTCGCAGATCGCGGCCCCACAGGGATGGCGAGGTCGAACCTGAATCTGCGTCTGGTGCCCACAGTGCTGGCCCCCCGGCAGCTCTCGGATGTGGCGAAAGTGTCGAAGTTCGCAACCCCCAGGGATGGCGAGGCCAAATTTGGATCTGCGTATAGTGCCCACTATACTGGCCGCCAGCAGCCCTCGAAAGTGGCGACCGTTTCGCAGTTCGCGGCCCGGGGGAGGAGCAACGTTTGGCTCGGTTTGGCCTTAGCAACGGCGAGTTCATTCCGCTCGCCCGCCCACGCAGCTTCGCCTCGCACGCTCGCACGCACGACACGAAACCGAAACCGATTTCCCGGTGGGGCCTCTCCGTTTCTCTTCGATCTGAGCCCGAACCTCCGCCCTGTACATGCATGTATGTGAGCCATCGCAGACCCCCAATAGTGATGTTTCCGTATGTCAAGGTGAAGCCTATGCGCTGCAAACGACGTGGTGTAAGCTACGTGGTGTAAGCTATGTGGCGTGAGCGGTGTCAGCTACGTCGTGTAAGTTACGCAGTGGAAAAGCTGTGCGGTGCAAGCCGTGCCGTGCAAGGTGTGTGGCGCAGGCCGAGCCAACAGAGCGCCCTCGAGCGCCCACGGAGCTGTCACGGGGCGGCCACTGGCGGCAACGTGGCGAAACCTCGCCGGACCCACCCGGGAACGTGGCGAACCTTCGCCGGACCCACCCAGCGCACGAGGCGGCCGCGAGGCGGCCGTAAGGAAGTCTCAGGCGAAATTGCTGCCGGGCCAGGCGCTCTGGGGCTTCCCCGTCCCTTTTGTGGGACTCTTCTGCGGTTTTTTGTTACCACCAGTAGAACCCTCTGGCGAAACACTATGAGGGAGAAAGGGGGAGAGTCAATTTGCAGACCCCCCTTGGAGCCAGCAAAATTATCTCTTGAACCCCTGACTGGACTCTCTCGGAGTGCTGTTGGGACCCGCCTGAGCCCGTCTTTCGGCGGCGAGCGAGGGGGCGAAGGGAGAAAGAGAAGGCCTTCTCAGAAGGTTCGGAAGTCCCCCAGCCTTCAAAGAAGTTTTCTAAGCATTCCCCGAAGACAAAGAGCTTCTCAGAAGGCGCGAGGGCTTCTAAGAAGCCTGGCCGCCTTCTGAGAAGGCCTTCTCCTTCTCATTTCCCCCCTCGCTCGCCGCGGAGGCTTGGGGCCACAGAGGTAAGAGCGAAGCGTTGAGGCGAGTACGCAAACACGCTCGAAGCTTCAACGTGCTCCACGAGTGTGGCCTCTCGGGGGGTACCATCGTGATGCTCCGTGGCTACCTCAGCGGCAGTCCTGATGCCCATTTGAGGCATGTTGGAGGCCATCTTCTGCCCAGCTGGGCGACACTGCTTCATTTTCTGGGCACTGCTGGGCTGTCGCGGGCCATCTTGATGCTGTCGAATGCTACCTTGGACGCTCTGAATTGCTCGCGGCCCGCCCCCCCCTCCTGGCCAGACCCATCCAGACCCACGGGCAGAGGGAGTAGGAAAAATGAACCCGTCCCCCAAAAGGAAGAACGAGTCGCTTCTGAAATACACTCTACGCCGCCTACTCTTGGAGGGCTGTTGGGCATAGAGATGGCGGCGGTGGCGTCTGGCAAAGCAGCGGCGGTGCTGGCAGGCAGAGAAGATCGAGCCCAACTGGACCAAGATCTACTTCAGGAAGGGCCAGGCAGCTCCGCGGAGCGTGTTCCTTGTATCCACAGCCATCCCAATCCCGCCGCGCGCTCTCGTTGTACTGTCGCAGAAGAGAAGTTCAATCGCACGCTACCTGCGCAATCGGGCTCAGCCTGCCAATGCCGCCCAGCCGCCCGTCGGCCACTCTTACGTGCTCAACACAGGCAGGTGCCGAGCGAAACCGCCGAAAGTATGGCAACGGCGCCCCGTTTGCTCTGGCGCGCTGGCTCGACGGGATGCGCGACGGGCGCAGACGCGGCTGGCCAGGCCACGAGTGTCGTGACGGTGACAGGAGCGAGACTCGAGCCGACCGATCCCCGAGGGCCTTACGCAGCACTGTCGGAGCAGGGCGGCGAAGGCGCGCCCGGCGGGCACTCTCGCGCCTGCGCGCGGCCTTCTCGGGCGCACCGCGCACCGAGCGCACACACCGCGCAGGTGGTGCACACCCGCAGTGCGCCCCACAGTGGGGGGCCGTGCCAAGGAACACATTGCTTGCCTCCAGGGTGCCCTGGTTTTCTTGGGTTTCGATGGTTTTGCGATGGAAAGCGTGGCGTTCCGAAACCAAAAGTCAATGGACGTCCTGGGGACTCGGGCTTGGGTCTCTTGTGGAAGGTTTCTTGTGGTCGAGCCCCTGCTGTAGCGCGGACACCTGCAGTGCGCGCTGCACACCTGCGGTGCTCTCCTCCAGCGCGCCTTCGCGGCAGCGGGCCGCGCACCGCGAGGGGCGGAAGGCGCCCTGCGGCAGCGAGAGCCCCGCGCTCCGCGCCGCCACTGGCGCTTCGGCGGGCGCCCCCGACGGTCGGCCGGCGTGTGCGGCCGCCTGGGCCACACCATGAGGCGAGGGCATTAGCGACGGGCCCCGCTTCCAGACCAGATCGGGGCGCCCCGTCACCACACCAGGCGGCAGCGGCGCCATGTTTCGGGGGCTGCGTTCCCTGGTCCACGCTGGCGCGTGCCCAGTGCCGTCGAGTCGTGTTCCGCATCGGTAGGCGCGGCGCCCGGTTCCTGGACGCTGACGCCGAGCGCTCCGTGCGGCGGCGTCACTGCCAGGGGCGGCGCGCGCAAAGCGCCGCCTGGGAAATGGGGCGCCCCCCACCCGGGCCCGCGGTCTCTTCAGCGCCGCGGCACCGCCGAGCCCGGCCAGCACGCCGCTGGCCAAGCAACACCCGCGAGGGACCTCCTCGCCGAGATCTGCGCGTTGCCATTTTTCACACAGGGCGTTCTTGCCCCGAATTTTCAGGCCGTGGGACCATCGCAGACAGTCTAGGCAGCCCCGCATTGTGCCGCATCGGCGATACATCGGCGATGCGGCGCGATTCTCCGACCCCATCTTCTCGGACCCCGTCTAGGAGGCCTCTAGATAGATCTAGCTCGTCGTGATCGTTCGCGGTGTTGCCCTTTTTTCGCAACGTCGGATCTCAGGGTGTGAGCACGCTGGGGTTGGCGAAGGCTACGGTGGCTCGTCTGGAGGCCCCATCCAGGCTTTCTCGTCGCTTCGACAGTCGGCGCCTCTGTGCCCAAAAAGGGGTCCGCCGACGGCCCGAGTGACAAGCGCGGTTGCAGCGCGGCTCCAAAGTGCGTCACGATCGACAGGGCAGCATCAGCGGCGGCTGGCTACAGCATCGCAGCCACCATCCCAGAGGCGGACAGCTCCATCCAGCTGTGCTTTGTGCCAGGCCGCAACACACCCCTCCCCACGGGGTGCTCACGACGAGCGCGCGATGGCGTGCGCTGCCATGGGCCACACAAACAGGCATGTGTTGCTTTTCTTCCTCCACCTCTCGCTCAGCTTCTTGTTGTCATTCATGCTCCTCCCGTGTTCATCCTCCTCTTTCGCTTCCTCAACTATTGTTCCCTATGAGTATACACCCCCTCCCCCAGGCGACCGGCAGCCAACCAGGAACCATGAGGACCCTATGCTCACACCCACCCACCATCCCTGCCAAAACAGAATACACACACATTCTGCCTCCACATTTGGATCATGCGCGGCCAACCCGATGCGCCCCCCCCCATCATCCCTGTCAAAAAACAATGCAAAGCACACGTTGGGGCAAAGTCTTGGGTCATGTTCGTGAGGCCCGCGAGCATTTTGTATTCTTTCTTGACAAAGACGGCGGGGGTGTCAGCATATTGCCTGCTGTGCGCAGGGCTACCATGCCTAACCAAAAAAGATACTACAAAATGGACCTCGCGGCCAAATCTGGATCATGCGCGGCCACCCCGCGATCATTGTCAAGTCGATTTTGACAGGGACGGTGGGGGTGGTGGCGTATGGCCTGCTGCGCGCAGGCCCACCAGACACATAATGGGCATTGGGTTTCCGACAACGACGGTGGGGGGGGCGACATGCTTCCCGATGTGTGATGTCACGTGCGCAGGCGCACCTGACACGCTCTGCACGTGACCCGAACGTAGCGCACCCGGCGCGGCTGAAGTATGCGGCACACATGGCGCACGCGGAGCACGTAGCGCATTTGGCGCACGAGGCGTGCATGGCACGCTCGGGCCCCAGGGGTATTTGGCGCGCGTGCCGCGCCTGGCACGCGTGGCTCACCTCGCCTCAGCGTCGCGCACATGGGGGCGGTTTGGTTCCAAGTAGCTGGCCATCCAAAGACGACCGCTGAACATGCCCATGCTCGGGTGTTACTTATGTGTTGGGAGGGCGGGTGGGAGTGAACTAGACGGCTTACTATCTGGGGGGTGTCTTGTCATCTCCCTTACCCCCACCCCGCTCCGCAACCCGTCCGCCTCCGTCTTCAAAGATGTGCTTTGCAAGGCGTTGCGAAGCTTGAAACGTTTCGCGGACGCGGTCTCAGCGTTTAAGGAAGGCAAAGAGCTGGATGCGAAGAACCCGGACAGAGAGGGGAATTGCGCTACTCAGCAACGGTTGTGATTAGAAATCGAAGATGCCCGCGCAGGTTTGCTAGCGTGTTGCTGCAATGTCATGGAACGTGAACGGCTCGCGTGTCCAAAGAAATGTCTGGCTCACATTGCATGTTCGACCCTGGGGTATTCCCACAATTTCATCATCGCCTGGGTATGTTCCAGTCGTGTGCCGTCTTCTGCTGGTGTGGTGTCCGCCTCTTTGTCCCAACAATCCTGTGGTGTTGGGTCCTCGTTTTGAAGAGACAGCGCCCCGCATTTCTCCTCCTTTTTTTCCTTCCTCCCGCGCTCCTCCCCCTCCTCCCTCCCCCCCTCCTCGCCTCTGCTTTTCGCATGTCTCTGTTTCGCCGCACCCCTCACACGTTTCGTGGCCCCATAGGGAGCTCCACCGAAGGCCCAAATGGCAGGGTTCGCATGGCGCCACCGCACCCATGTGGGCACACCCCTCGCACGCTCCGTGGCCCCATGGGGAGCGTCACCTAAGGCCCCAGTGGCAGGGTTCGCATGGCGCCACCGCACCAATTTCGGCACACCGGCAGGGTTCGCATGGCGCCACCGCACCCATGTCGGCACACCCCACACACGTTTCGTGGCCCCACAGGGAGCTCCTCCCAAGGCCCCAGTGGCAGGGTTCGCATGGCGCCACCGCACCAAGCCCAGCACACCCCTCACACGTTCCGTGGCCCCACAAAGGGGCTCCTCCGAAGGCCCCAGTGGCAAGGTTCGCATGGCGCCACCGCACCCATTTCGGCACACCCCTCACACGCTCCGTGGCCCCATGGGGAGCTCCACCGACCGCCCTAGTGGCAGGGTTCGCATGGCGCCACCGCACCCATGTCGGCACACCCCACACACGTTTCGTGGCCCCACAGGGAGCTCCTCCCAAGGCCCCAGTGGCAGGGTTCGCATGGCGCCACCGCACCTATTTCGGCACACTCCTCACACGTTTCGTGGCCCAACATGGAGCTCCACCGAAGGCCACAGTGGCAGGGTTCGCATGGCGCCACCGCGCCCATTCCGGCACGCCCCTGAAACGTTTAGTGGCCCCACAGGGAGATCCACCGAAGGTGGGGCTCACAACTGCGGTACCCACAATTGCATATGGTTGGGTTCATCGCCCGGACAACATGTATTCACGGTCCATCTCGATGCTAGCCACTCCGTGTTGTTCATTTACATGTCTTGCGTTTGTTCTCGATCGCTCGTGATAACATTCGAAAGAGCGTGTTCAGCAGGGCGAGGAATATCCGAATACAGCGGATACCCCTTCTCAGTTGCAGACCTCGGCATAGCGAAGTCGTTTGATCAGTGAATTGGAATTGAAGACACGCGCTATTCCAGCGCAAGCTGTAAAGCAGCGTCGAGGATCTCACCAAAACAAGAAAATTGTCGAAAGCGCCCTTGAGGCATGATCTAGTGGATTGCGCGACACCTTGGGCAACCCTTGGTACATTAGCTATGTGACTGCTGCTATTGCGCATGATTGTTAAACGAAGCTGAAATGCTCGCCTGCAAGTCTGTGAAGTCAACTGCGCGCTGGTGATGTGTAATTCGTGTTCTCTCTGCTCCCGTTCCCCGTTCTCAACCTCTCCAGCGATACTTTCACAAGAGGCTTACGCCATCCAGCCGGCCCACAGAAAAGGAGATATGCGGCTTCCGATTCCGCATTCGTTTCTTGTCGTTTCCCGTCGTACTGCCTGCGTGGAGTTGCTGCTAATTCGGCATCCTCTTCCTCCGCGTCGGTTGCGGGGTTTCTTGGGGGCCTCTTCGAAGCCTGGGGGGGTGGCCTATGTAAGCCTTCTGAAAGGTCCTAGGGGCATTGGGGCGCCCCCTGGGGGCTTCCTGGGATCCTCTTAGGGGCATGTTCGGGGTTCTTGGGGGGCCATCTTGTCGGGGAGGGCTGCCGGAGTCCCTGCGAGTTCCCCTTTTGGGGGGCCTTCTTGAAAGCCTCTTCGGCCATAGGCCTTTTAGGCCATCTTAGGGCCCACGTGGGCCGTCTCCAGCCCTCTTGGGGGCATCTTGGGCCGTCTTGGGACGGTCCGGAGGGCTTCTCTGGCCGCTTTGGATTTTCAGAAGCCCGAGAAAGCGACATCGCGAAAGTCACTCAAACACCTGTTGAAAATCATTTTTCTTTGCCTCTGGGAGCCCTCTTGGAGGTCCTCTCGGGGCCCCGTTGGGGCCGGCTTGTCCCTCTTGAGGCCATCCTGCGCGCTTGAGGCCTCTCTGGCGTGTTGGAGCCCGCCTCGGTCCATATTACAAGGCAGCCGGGGCATCTCGGCGGCCACGGAGAGTGGATGTGGAGGCCGCGAGGGCCCCGGGAGCGTTGCGACGAGCTCGTTCTTTCCCCACACGTGCCCCCCCCCCCTCCTCCAATGGGTGTCTGGACCCCTGGGGAGGGGGAAAGGGAGAGGGCCACATGCTGCACACGCTGTTTCACCCAAGGCAAGCAGTGGTCGGCGGATGTTCTGCTGCTTTGTGGAGGACCCACGGAGTCAAATCCAGCGACGTATCGACCGCATGATCACCTGACACGTTTAGGAGGCATCCAGGAGGGCGGAGTGCAGTTTGAATGCATGTGGCGAGCCCTGCCGCTGAACTCCCCAAGAAATCCAAGACGTGGCGACAACTACACGATGCAAGCATCCAGGAGGGGAAAGTCAAGTTTGGATGATTGTTTCGGACGACTTCGCTGCTTCCCAGGATCGCTCAGGAAGCGTCAACCTCCTGAAATCACCATTGTTGTACGCTAGGCACCATCCAGAGAGGGCGAGGTTTGATTTGGATGCCCGTGGCTCGCCGTTCAGCTGGACCCCCCTAGGGGCCCGGTAAGTGACAGCAGTCGCACGTCTTGCAGCACACATGAAGGGGGAGGTCAAATTTGGATGCAAGTGGCGGGCCGCTCCACCCGACTCTGGCCCAGAAAGTGGCGACACTTGCATGTCTGGCAGCAAAATGTCTGGCAGCTTCAAGGCCCGTGTCTTCCGCTCCGCTGGAGGCCCTGGGGGCCACCGGACCGCAGCGAACCTCTCCGTTGGACTCCCAGGGCCCCAGGGATTGGCGGCAGTTGTGCATTTGGCGGGTGAAGACAAGTTGTGCACCCAGCAGGAGAGGAGAGGAGGAGAAAAAAGGAGGGCTTTAAGAGAGGAGCAGCAGCGGCTTCATCCAAAGGGGAAGAGAGGTGACAGACGAGGAACCAACACATGAAAGCTCAGCAGAGACGACCTGAGGGATGAAGGACCCGAGTGCCATTGTAACCCGAGGATGCCCCAGACTAAGCAAGTAAAGTTACAATCCAATGATCATGTCTTCGTATTTGGAGGGAGGGCACGAAAAAAGATGAGGACTAGGGAAGGGGAGGATTGGGACCGCGAGATCCAGAACACCCTCGTTATGGAGAAGGCGGTGGAACGCAGAAAGATCCAGGGCACAGATCCACTGAGGTCGCGTAGATAGGATAAGCGCAACGCTCTTACGCAGCGAGAGCAAAAGATGTCTCACTCCCATGAGTGGCGAAGGTTCCTTCCGTGCCGAATCATTGTAATTGATTTGTTGGTCCGAGCACATAGATTGCAAAGTCTGCGGCCTTTCAGCCCAGAGACCAGCGAATGGTAATTGTGCTCAGCAGCGGGATACGCATTCTGCATCTCTGACATGGGTGAAAGCAGTCTGTCACGTTCCGTTGTTGAAGTCCGGGATTGGACCTGCGATTTAATGTGATTTGGTTATGGGCCCTAAGAATCTATATTCTGGCAAAGCTTGCAATGAGCCAACCTGGGGATAGTTGACTTTCGGGAATAAGCCCAGGAGGGCCTTGGTGGACCCAGAGAGCGTATGAAAAAGCCCCACGAGGATTCCAAGAGACTCCCAAAATGACCGAGGACTCCCCGAAGTGGGGCCGAAGGTGTTACCAGAGGGCGCCCAGAGGCGCAAGAACCGTGCTTCCAGCCCTCATATAGGAGACTGCGACTGCCTGGGAGGGGTGGGGTTCAGCATGTTGGGTGAGGATGGTGGACCAATTATCGTGGCAAAGCCGTAGCGGACCAACCATATCATGTGTACATATAGGTGTATATACATACATACAGACAGACATGCAAATGTACATGCATACATACATACATACATACATACATACATACATACATAGATCGATTAATATCAATGGTATACACTCATATAAAGAGAGATAGAGAGATTTGTTTCTATGTCGGCGGTGCCCCGTGGCACGAAACCCCCCTCTTCCCGGAGGGTTTCGTACCAGTCGCACCAGCGGTGACAGGCCAGAATCCCCCCCCTTGCCCTTTTCCCAAGGGGGTTCGTACCGGGCGCACCGGGGGCCGCCGACGATCGGGCCCCTCTGCCACGCCTGTGGGGGTGGGGTGAGGGGAGGGCGGGGGGGAGCTGCGGGAGTGGGGTGGGGTGGGGTGGGTGGAGCGCTGTGGGAGTGGGGTGGGGCGGGGGGAGGGTGCTCATTGGGGGTGTTGGGTGGTGCGGTGGGTGTGGCGTGGTCCTGTGGTGCTCCAGGAGAGTTCGTGTGGTGCTGTGGGCGTGGCGTGGTGCGGTGCTGCTCCAGGAGAGCCCCAGAGGTCGTCGTCATCATACGGCCAGCAAAGTCATGGCACCAAGGAGAAGGAGGAGGAGGAGGAGGAGTCGACAACGCTGTTTGCCAAAATTGCTTGGCACGTGGCGACGCTGGATCCCGGATGGGCCGCCTGCCCCGGACAATGGTCCAACCCGCCCAGGGGGGATTCGTACCTGCACACGCACCGGCGGCGAAAAGAGGCTGATCCCGGGGGCTTACGTGCATCCCCCGGGGGGTTCGTGCTTCCCGGATGGATTCGTCCCAGCTTGTATATGTCGGCAGTGGTCGCCGAGCGTCTTGTTGTATACGATCGTTTAGCGAATATCCAACTAGTGCTTTTACTCACGGACGCCTCTTGCTCTGTCGCTGCTCTTTCGGATTGGGTTCAAAGCTTGTTCTGTCGCAGCATGGGTACCTCCGATATCGACGTTATCCACTTTAGTTCAGCCGCCCTGTGCTCACGCAGGATTGCGAATCTAGGTTTCATGCACAGGACGATATTCGGCAACGGACGGCGGCGGGATGATCCGACACCCATTATGGTCTCTGTCGTAAGGCCCCCACGCTCTTTCTCAACCCCCACAGAACATCTCACAGTCTTTCGACCCACAATCCAGGACGACGGCTGGACGGGCCCAAACCCGTTCTGGTCGCTGTCGTAAGCCCCCGCGTTTTTTCTCGCCCTCCTCGTCGTGGCCTTCCCAGCGCCAGCCGTCTTTGCTTTGTCACTTCGCACCACCCCCATGTCAGTTTTAAGCTCAACTGCCTCACCCGCCATCCTAAGGTTTTTCGAATGAGTCCATTGGGTCGTCCTTCCAGTTTTCCAGCTTCATTTGGGCTAAATTAGAACCCTCCACCAGGCTCCAGGGCCCCAACACGGCCCACACCATCACGTTCCTGGAGTGCTTCCCGGGAACCCAATTGCCGCCGCCAGTCCGGCGAGGAAACCAAAGAGGAGAAGAGGAGTCCGCGCCATCTGAACGAGCCTCCAAAGTATGAGTAGTGTTGCCTGGTGGCCCGTTCACAGCGGAACCGAGGTCGGGCCCGCGGCCGGGTTGCAAGTGGACTCGCTCGCCGTAGACGCCACACCCCCCTCCGCCACGTTTCACATTCTTTGCGTGGCCTTCCAGCTCCTACCGTTCTTGTTTCGTTACCAGGCGCCTCCCCCATCTCCCTGCCAAGCTTAACCGCCATAACAATGCAAATGTTCCCACCGGGCAGTCCTTCGGGCTTTGCAGCCTCATGTGGTAACCTTGGAACCGAGGCCCCCAACACGGCCCACACCATCATGTTCCCGGAGTGCTTTCCAGGAGCACGATTGTCGCCACCAGCCCGACAAGGAGACCGAAGAGGAGGAGGAGGCGGGTAAGGAGGAGAACCAGGAGAAGGAGGAGGAGGAGGACAGGAAAACGGCCAACACAGGCAAATCATGAGGAAAAAAATAAAGATCGGCCAGACGACAACAATGAGGACGCTGGCCCACGCGAGCCCCAAGGCGGCCCCAGGGGCACCCCAGACAACTTAGAATGATCACACACAGACGCCTGGAAACGGCCCCCAAGAGACCCCCGCGCGTTTCCGCCAACATCTCACCGGACATCTTACACGCTTTCGACCCACGATCCAGGGACGGCGGCGGAATGGGCCGAAACCCATTCCGGCTTGTGTCGTAAGCACCCCACGTTTTTGTTCACCCTTGCCAGCTCCAGCCGTTTTTGCTTTCGTACCCCACACCTGTTCTATTTCATTTCCAAGGACCCTCTCACCCCCCATGTTTCCCAAGGTTTTTTCACATGATCTCATGGGGCCGTCCTGCAGGCAACCTCACATGGGACGATTGGCGGCGACAATCATGTTTCTGGAAAGCCTGCCGGGAACATGATTGCCGACGCCAGTGGAAAACGGAAGAGGAGGGCGAGGAGGGGAGGAGGAGCACGGAGACAGAGCACGCAGGTCAGGGTAACGAGGACGAGGAAAAGGATAATCAGGAGGGGCAGGAGGAGGAGGAGAAAAACCATCAAGAAGCAGGAAGGAGGAGGAATCCTTATTCATCCGTTGATCCATGCTTCGTTCCAGTTCCAGACCTCCCCGTTTGTGCCTCTCCAGCATGTGTGTGTGTTCAGTTTTTCCCGACCTGCTTCCCTCCATTCGTTCTCCTTCTCTCCCTCCTTTCCCACCCACGACCACGATGACGACAGCGGCGACGACGCCGACGACGACGTCGACGCCGGGATTGCGCCTGCCTGCCATGGAACTGGATGAGGATGCAGGTCATGAGGAGGCGGAGGAGGGTGAGGTCTTCGGGGTTGGCTTGTACCTAAGCGCGCGTAGCGCACGGGTGGTTCTAGCGTATACACATATTTCCATATAAATACACACGCTTAGATGCATTGGTAGGCATATACGAGTAAATCATGAGCGGTTGAAGTGCCACTGCTGGTCCCCATACTTTTGTGTTCAAGTTCATCCGGGTCACATTCGTTTCCAGTTCGATGCGCACTTGTTTTGTCAAGCGAAGTTGGCATACAGGTCGTTCCCAATTGAGCAGTCCTTGGCCAAGCATTTGTCGTCTATGTTCACCGTCTGTCCGCATTCGGTTCACCTGTGGCCAATTCTTTTCCTGATCAGCACACGGTGTAGCATAATCTAGATAATTTGCTTTTGTATTGGATGACCGCTTGTATCACGAAGTGGTGACGTGTGATCTGCGTTCGGTTTGCACTTACCGCGCAAATAACGCACACCTATGGTGATCGACTCGCTTCCGTACGCTGACGATTCGCAGAGCTAACGAACACCAGCATCTGGCGACATTGGTGGGCGCGTATCCATCCGGAATATTTGCTTACCCCACGCGCATGCCATGAAAGCCGTCGCATTAATAGAATAATAGATCAATCGAATAATTACGGAATATTCGCTTACCCCACGGCGTGCGTCAGCACAGGCGTTGGCTGTCTCGACATCAACGTGGCAGCATGTTGTCTTCGTACCAGATACGGTTGCGCAGTGATAACCACATCTAATTTGACGGCACATAAATGCCTATACATGACCGTCGCGATTCATATCGGGAACCACACACGCGCCCGCAGCTCACCAGCGTATGAAATGCTGCCCACAAATATGATGAGCACATTGTTGAATCGTTCGTGTTCTCATCGAAGGCACCTACGTCGAACCACCGCCTTTCTTTTGCTTGCAAAGGGGTGCTTTGAGTGTCACACGGTCTAATTCCTTATTAGTCATGAAAATCCCAATAGGTTCTCGGCACATCCCGCCAGTTACGCGGGCGATATATACTCCGTTGGTTTTTCCGCAGAGCCTGATTGCCTCCAGGATGGCCACGATTGTTTCAGGTGGCCGTCAAGACGGTCCGAAGATGCCAAAAACATGTTTTTCTTTTAATTTTGGACACATTCCAGCATTCTCGCCTGTTCGGGTGTCTGGCAACCAATGACGGCTCAAGAAGCATCCAAGATAGCACCAAAACGGCTTCACAAGCACCCTAAAGGGTTCCAATACGGGTCAAGAGGGCCCGCCCCAAGAAGGCCTAAGGTTTCCAAGATGGTCCCAGGAGGGTTCCAGAGATTTCTAAGATTGCCCTGAAGCGCCCCCCACAAGGCCCAAAGATGGCCCAGTGTGGCCCCAAAGAGGCCAAGAAGCACTTCAGTGGCATCTCGGAGGCCCCGAAGAGGGGCCCCCCAAGGCCTCGTCTTCCTCACCGGATCCCTTCTTTTGCACCGTCTTCCCCAAAATGTTTGCCCAAGGGTTTCCGCAAAGGTTGGGGGAACGCATAGCGAACAGCTTTGGTAGACTTCGGCGCATCGTTTGGCCACAGGCGTTCCCTAAAGACACGGGGCGGCGGATCTGGTGACCTTCCCATCCCGCCACCGCGCTTGGGTTGTTAGCCAGAGGACTCTTGGATGATTGCTGCTGTCTCTCGGGCCGCTTCGGAAGGCTCCAGACACGATGCCCAGGGGAGTTGCCCTGATCAGGGATGTGCAGGAGCATGCAGTGAAATAAAGGGCTGGCAGAGCCGTCATGCCCCAAGAGGGGGAGGATGGTGGAGGAGAAGGAGGAGGAGAAGGAGGAGAAGGAGGGGGAGGAGGAGGAGGAAGAGGAGGAGGAGGAGGAGGAGGAGGAGGA